ATGAAAAATAGCACGTGATCGTGTTCCCGGTGTTTACCTGCTGTGATATCCTTTGCACATTATATGTCAATGAATATTGTCATGATGACAACTGGTAATGCACAAGATCTCCAGGGGGGTCCTTTAAGAGATATTTAAAGATGTCCCTGCGCATAAAGCACCTTCATAATCATTATTATGTTATTATGTTGTAGTTATATGTGGTGCCCATTTTAAGAACAGAGAACAATGCAATGACGCAAAGATGCTGTCCATAGTTGTGACATAGTCAAGCACGCTAATGATGACATACCAGAATTATAATTGCACCCAGGGCTTTTTTTTATTTACTACAATGAATATTGTCATGATGACAACTGGTAATGCACAAGATCTCCAGGGGGTCCTTTAAGAGATATTTAAAGATGTCCCTGCGCATAAAGCACCTTCATAATCATTATTATGTTATTATGTTGTAGTTATATGTGGTGCCCATTTTAAGAACAGAGAACAATGCAATGACGCAAAGATGCTGTCCATAGTTGTGACATAGTCAAGCACGCTAATGATGACATACCAGAATTATAATTGCACCCAGGGCTTTTTTTTTTACCACGTTTATTTATTTTTTAAAAAAATGAGTCCGGGTATTTTGAGAAGTTTCATTTTTCAAAATAATATGCCACCAAATCTAATGCCCTACGTGAGAGTACATTGCCTTCCTCAACCCTTTGCGTCAAGAAATAACCCACTGATCGGAACAAGCAGCTGCCGGATCCCGGAATAGATCTGGCATTGTACAGAAACCCGTCGACAGAGAAGGTAGAATAGGGTTAAACCTGAAAAAAAGAAACGTAACAAAACAACGAACGTGTCGGCAGAAAGCCTTCGTCAGCGAACAAAACAACCGAAAAAACGGTATAAAAATAAAAATAAGAAATATCACTTAGCTTGGACGTAGTATCCGTGGGCAGCAAAAGAAATGTCTCTGTTGTTTTGTTCGCTGACGAAGGCTTTCTGCCGACACGTTCGTTGTTTTGTTACGTTTCTTTTTTCAGGTTTAACCCTACTCTGTTTAATTCATTCTATATTGTGCTAACCTGATTTCAGTCGCTCCCCTTATTACGACAGAGAAGATACTGTCATTCATTTTATAACAAAAACTTAGGAAACAACAGTCACAGAGCGGAACTTGATTCTATGTATCGTGGGGCAGCAGTTTCGGCCAAATGAAGAGTTTTTTAATGGGTTTATGGGCGGTAAAAATCTTGTCCCGCCCCAGGCAGCACTAATCCTAGCACCACCAGTGGGTCTTGCCAAAGTGTTCCTCACCGTACATAACCTAATTTTTTAAAACTGGTTACTATGTTTAGAAACATACACATGGTTGAGGAGAACTTGAAAGACAATACAAAAAGGGGGATGTGTTGATCAAGTTGTCAGAGGCAGCGAAAATACAGACAAACTCAGCTTATGGATACCGGTAAAATATACTATGCTACCAGAGAAGCTATAAGTCAAAAAAGATATTTTCAAAACAAAGCATTGCACCCCACTTAGCATTGCACCCCACCGCCAAAGCCATACTGCAATTTGTAATGGCATTGCTGCCTTGTATGTCCAATGTTAAAGCCCGCTTAAATTTGTGACACCTCCCGAACACCCCCTGCCCATTTTAATTCTTATCACTTCAAATGTTAAGGAGACCACGCCTAGCGAGTACAGATACTAGACTAGTTATCCTATTATTATTATTATTGACCATCCTGCGTAAAATTGGTGCCATCAATTCAGGATGCCAGAGAGAAGAAACACAATATCTCCACAGTGTGCACGCAGCTCGGTCATTTAGCATTCAAATATATCTGAAAACCTTTTAGAAATGCAAGGCCTGACTGACAGACCCCACTGCTTCATTAGAAATGCAAGGCCTGACACATCCCACTGCTTCATTAGAAATGCAAGGCCTGATTGACAGACCCCACTGCTTCATTAGAAATGCAAGGCCTGACAGACAGACCCGACTGCTTCATTAGAAATGCAAGGCCTGACTGACAGACCCGACTGCTACAGTAGAAATGCACGGACTGACAGACCCCACTGCTTCATTAGACATGCAAGGCCTGACTGACAGACCCGACT